CGGAACCAGGTGGAACCGGCCAGAACCTGGGACCGTCAAGAACCCGAGGCTGGCCAGAACCAAGAACCGACCAGGACCTGGGACCGGCCAGAACCAGTCTAGGACCTGCCAGAACCCGGAACCCGGGACAGACCGGAACCAGTCTGAGGACTATCTGGGACTGTCTAGAACCGTCTGGAACCGGCCTGAACCAGCTAAAACCGTCTGGAACCTGGAACCCGCCGGGACCTGCTGGTTCCGGCCAGTCTCAGCTGGTTCGGGCCTGTCCCAGGTTCTGGTCGGAACCCAGAACCATCCGGAAACCAGTCTGGGACCGACTGGGACCATCTGGAACCGGAACCCAGAACCGGACGGAACCTGGAACCGGCTGGGACTGTCTAGAACCGTCTGGAACCGGCCTGAACCAGCTGCAAATGGCCTGTCCCAGGTTCCGGCCTGAACATGGGTACCGTCAAGAACCTGGAACCGGCCAGAACTAGCTGTTTCCGGTCTCCGGTCTCCGGTCTCCGGTTTCCGGTCTCAGGTGGTTCTGGACGGAACCACCTGAGACCGTCTGGAACCAGCTGGTTCCGGCCAGAACTTGGGACCCTCAAGAACCCGAGGCCTGCCAGAACCCAGAACCGACCAGGACCTGGGACCGGCCCGACCCAGGATTGGCCCGAACCGGCTGGGACTGTCTAGAGCCGATAGGAACAGCCAAACAAACTCTTCACTGAGCCTGTTGGTCCGTTGCTAGGATACATCAGTGAGTCGGCCATCTTGGATGTGGCAGAACTGCCGTAAACTGATAAAAGGAAACGGACTGAACTCCATAAAGCGCCTTTATACAACCAGCTTTGAGTTCAAACATCTTATTCACACACACACACTGATACATCTGGGAGGCACCAAAATAACATCTGTAACTTTTAAAGTAAAAACATCTGGTTCTGGTTCCTGGTTGGTGGGACAGGTGTTGTGAATGAAACGGAGCCCAGCTTGAAAGAGCTCCTGTGTGATTGATAGATAGATAGATAGATAGATAGATAGATAGATAGATAGATAGATAGATAGATAGATAGATAGATAGATAGATAGATAGATAGAGCTCCTGTATGTTGCTGAATGTGAGCGTTGATGACAGGAAGACATCTTCTGCCTCCATTTATTAGTGGAAAAAATTACAGGGGGGGATATTTTAAAAAAAGGATTCAGCTTCAGATTATTTCTGCTGTTTTCTGTCTGTTTTCTGCTGTTTTCTGGCTGTTTTACATTAGTGGAAAAAACGGCAGAGTGGGAATATAAAAAGAAAAAAAAAAGTCTAATCAACCAAAAC